CCAGTAGCTAGGGCAAGAAGTATTACAACAAGCACATAGGATACACTCCCACATCCCATCCAGTTTTGCTCTCTCTTCTTTGGTTTGCAAGAACTCTTTTTGCCCATCTTCCTTTTGTTTTTTGGTCTTCAACCATGGCTCAATGCTCTTGTATTGCTGATAAAAATAAGTCATGTCCACCACCAGGTCCTTAATCACAAACATATGTGGCAGAGGCAACACCACAGTAGAAGCAATACCATCCTCATCCCTGTCAACTTTTGTTAAGCATGCCAGGCAGTTCTTACCATTGATGTTCATGGCGCAAGAGCCACATACACCTTCGCGACAAGAACGCCTAAACGTGATACTCGAATCATGCTTGTTCTTGATCTCAAACAAAACATCAAGCATCATAACGCAGTTGCTGGTGTCAACCTTGTACTCTTGGAGGTGGGGTGATTTGCCATCTTGGGGATTGTATCTGTACACTTGAAAGGACCGTAAACCATTGCTGGTCAAGCGCTTGCTTCCTAAAACTCGTGAAAGCATCCTTGGTGAAAAGTCATAACCTAAAAGATGGCCTTATTTTTATTGAGTTTAAGCTAAATTTAGGTCGCAACGAAAGAATGTAATTTGCACTATTTTATCGTAACTAAGCTCCAACATAATTTAAACATTTTATTTTGTGATTTACAAAATAATATTTTGAAAACCACCTTTTTTTCAAGGCATATATATATATATATATATATATATATATATATATATATATGCCTTGAAAAAAGGTGGTGTTCTGGAACGTACTGATACTGGGATACCCCGAGGTGGCTTTGAATCTTTACGCACGAAAGATTCAAAGACGAGGAGACGAGGAGAGACGGCTGTGAGGCGGATTCTTGGACTTTTCTTGCCGTGCTCAAGGCTTGCGGAAGCTTTGTGGCTCTGGAGACCAGAAACGGGCGATCGATCATTCGCGAGCTTGATGGCATTCGATGGTAAGTCCCGGGCATGCTCTTCACAGGGACGTTTATCGGCATGGACATGGTTCTGGCGACTTGCTTGGGGGTGTGGCCGCTGCTCAACGGGTGTTCGACTCATTTTCTACGAGGAACATTATCAGCTGGAGCGCACTGATAACAGGCTACAGCCACCTGGGAGATGTGAACGAAGTCCTGGATCATTTCCCGTGACATGGAGGACGGAGGAGTGCAGCCAAGCTCACTTCCGTCCCCGCGGCTTGCAGCCATGCGGGCCTGGTTGACGTCGCCAGGGAGTACTTGAAGTATGGTATTCGTCTGGGCATCGATCACTACCACTGCTTGGTGGATGTGCTTGGGAGAGCCAACCATATGGACGAAGCAGTGTCTGTGATAAACGCCATGCCTTTCGAAGCCAACGCCATGACTTGGAAGACGCTGCTGGGAGCATGCCAGAAAGTGGAAGAACGTAGAGTTTGGGAGGCTTGCATTCGAGTTGCTGCTAGAGCTCGACGAGAAAGACGTGGCTGCCATACAATGTCACATATACCTGTGTGGCAAACTTTGGCGATTTGACATGTCATATTGATGTGGCAGGATCCCATGCCATTCCCATACACCTTAACCAGTCAAATGTAGTAAGGAATGTTTTAAGTACATTGACTCATGTAATGTATGCGCCATATGTCAAACCTTAATGTATGCGCCAGGCTGCCTGCTACAAATTGATTGCCATAAATATCAACTTTATAGGGGTGAGTTGGGATTGTATCTGTATACCTGAAAAGGGTTTTATTTTTATTGAGTTTAAGCTTTAAGCTATTATCTCAAGCTCTAATGGCAAGCATCCCACTACATTTTGCAGGGGTTTGAGCTGGGAAAATATTCTAAATTATTAATTACTTATGTGTAGTAAATTTTTTAATTTATATTTCAAATTTATTAAACCAAAATGTAATTTGTAGTTTACTTATTTATCTCTATAATATAAAAAAATGATAAGATAAATAAATCATAATGATAATAATAATTTTTAAGTTCCAAATATTCTTTTGACATTACAATTAAAACATTTTTTTTTTCAAACTTTCATTGGTGTTGAGCCAATACTTTGGACCCCCATTCTTCTGGATCCCTCTAGTTTGTGTCCATCAATATGTTGCCTTGAAATCTTTGACAATACCTTTGAAATGGCCCCACCCAGGATCTAGGCCGTGCTGAGGCAAGAGTGCTCCATCTTCTTTGGTTGTGATATAGTAAACCAACTCTATGCATAGAGGTTGACAAGCTAACAATAACCATCTTCACAACAAGTGTTCAGTGTTTCATTGATCTTCAAGATTGCCATGAGAGACCCAATAAAGCAATGGCCACCACAAGTTGTTGGAGATGAGAATAGCGATGGCAACAAGAAGATGAGCCTCTTGAGCTAAGATCTAGCAGGGCAGAAGCTTTGTGTTGATGGTCTTACGAGAAGACCGTGCTCTCAGACATAGCAGTTTTTCTTTGCATAAGTTTGTAGACTTTAAAAAAGTTTTTAACTTGCACTCTTTTCTTGATGATGGCTATAGATGGTGAGATCCAAGTGCGTCATTCTGAGCCAGCCAGGCGAGATCCAGGTGGTGGGGAGTAAGTTTTCCGTACCGTTTTCCCTGGAGGAATTTGTGACTGTGTAAGACCAGTCCGGAATCAAGATTGGCACAGTGAAATACACGATTCTAAACGGAACGCAAAAATCCAGCGACGAGGAAATACTGGACAGAGTGTAAGCGCTCTAAGAATCTATCTATCTATCAAGAGATTGATCGCTCCTCCATTCGAGCCTATACTCTTCAAACTCTGTAACCTCGTGATGGACGATGTCTTAGAAGACATCTAGTACGTGACTTCCTTGTCAACTATGTAGGTGGTGATAGTCTGACGGCCTTGCTAAGAATAGCTTTCTAGGGTAGGAGAAATCACAAAACTCTCAATCCACAGTATGGAGTAAGTGCTCCATACCGTCCAGTGTATAAGATATAAAGAAGAAAAGCTAGTTAGAGAACTCCCTCACCGTTGACTGTTCTTTGCTATAATGTCTAATGCCATCTTCTAGAGCTCCATAGATGGTGCTTGCTATACCAGCCCCATGCTGGTTCCAGACAAGCCAGCTATCAGTTAAGCTTTGTTGGCCAATCTAAATAGTGGGAATTGGCTCATATTCTAGAGCTGTGGGGCATTCAACCTACAAAACTTTATAACTTAATTTACTATACAACTTGAGTCACCTCTACACCTAATGCCTCTTAGACCATGTACTTGTTCTGATGTTGCTATTGATTTAGAAGAGATATACCATTACCTCTTCCATCCACAGCTACTGCTAAGCCAAGATTAGGAATCTTAAGTTTGTACTTCCCTTCTGTGCTCATAGCAGAGAGTTGCTTTGTTGTGAGGGAACCTCTTTGCACATTCAAATCCCATGAAAATAAATCTCTCACTAGAAAATGCCATTGAAAAATGTGTTCTATCATCCATCTCAATAATGAAATGTATAATCTCTGAGTATATCTGGGAATATCTCTAGAATCATACCCCAACATTAGAACATTAGCTTCAATAAATTTATTTACATTATTTATAGTTTCATTGAGTTATAACAACTTTGTTGCTCAACAAAATATTAGCAAGGTTATACATGGGGCTGAGATAACAGTTGGCAAAAGGCATTAACGTGGCATTGGTGACATATGTTCTTTTGTGCAAATTTTGCCACAACCACTATAGTAATCATTGGCATTGGAAACAAATAAAAAAGTGAGAGATTGATTAGGTATAGTTTTATAGTCTAGAACTTGCCTTCACAATAGCTAGTGACATATTGGTATGCCATGCAAGCAAGACAAAGGGTGCAATCTTCATTTATTTTCTTAACAATTTTAACTTCTTTTAGATATCCTCTTGTTCCATATATGTTGCTGATGCTAGACATACTACAGCAAGTTACTTCCATTATACTAGGAGGTGAGATAACTCTCACATCAAAACCGTTCCAAACACACATGGAAAAATTTGTCATGGAACTTATTTATATTTCAATACTAAAAAAAATCCATTTCCTTTCAAAAGCCACACTTACAAAATCAAACACTCTGGTTTATGAAGTTCGTCAGTCAGCCACTTGGATTTCAATGCTAGTTTGTTTTTATAAAAAAAATCAACATTGAGGGCTCCTTATGCTTGAACTAGAGAGTTACACAATATCATAATGTATCTTGACATTAGTAGAAGAAAATGTTTGAAAAGACTAATTAACAAATATCTTTCAATACCTGAAATTACATTTTTAGAAATCACATTTACAATACAGTCCCCAATGCATACGTTAGCCTGGCAAAGTCTGAAGTTTGTTCTGGTTGCCAGGCTCCAGTAGGCTTTTAGAGCAGCAGCTAGCATTGGAGCATTGGCCACTTCAGCCAGGAGCTCTAGCACCTGCCTCTGCTCTCCCACTCTTGACATATCCCAGAAGGAGCATTATCCAAAAGATAGAGCCCCAGCGTTTCATCTTGTCGAACACTTTCATGTTTCCCTCAATTAGGAAAAGAAACTCGCAAGAGGTCATGGTAAAAACGTTAAAATCTTCTCAACAAACATTACCTCGAGAGACATAATGTGCACCGACATTGTGCTGGATTTCTCCCGCTAGGCACCATGACACACAGACTTGCAATTCCCTGCTGCATGTCGTCGTAGATGAGGTGAGGGCCGTCCAGGCACACAGATTATTCATAGATCTCATCCTGCCGCTCCTGCTGACTGTTTCCAGTTCTGTTCTTTTGTGGATGAAGCATAACTTCGACGAACACAGTAGGCGACGAAAGACCTTACATGCATAGAGTCACATGCTCTGAAAAAAACACAAAATTGACATCGAGATTAGGGCATAATGTTCCTTCTCTGTTTTATCAGCCGTTAGATTAAAACTAGATCAATGGTGGTTGCGTGAGGAAAGTATAAATTCTTCTTCAACGGTTAGGAATTCTATTCCGATTTAGGGCTTCAATGGAGGACGAAGACTACGTGGAACGGCAGGGCAAGCGGCTAACCAAGCGGCAAAAGCTAATGGAGCACCTCAACAAGCTGCCCGTGAAATCGGTAAGCTCTCCCTGTCTTGTCTAGTCATGGCTCGACATGTGGCTCTGGACAGCCACAAGCCATGATCGCCCAACTGGCTGGAGCGCGCGAGGAGCAACTCTTCGCCATTCCTCCAAGCGACATCAAAGAGGCCGACTTTCGCATGCGCTATGGCTTGATCGAGATCAAGCATTACACGCCCTCGTACGACCGGTGAGGTTTTTAGACAAATCTTTGTTTCTTTTTTTTCAAGTCTCCTTTATAGGTTTGCTGCCGTGGAGATGTCAGGCGAAACTCTTCACTGCGTCAACAAGCTCATCGCCAACGATGTCGCCTACTCGACTGCGTTCCAAGGTGATTGCAAAGGAGAGATGCAGGTCGCACCGATACTGGACAGGATGCTACGGAACCTTGGCCGCTTTACAAGGCCCCGGGAACTTGAAAAGGAGCCGGCTTACGGCCAATCACCAGACCCGTCATCGCCATCTGACAAAAAAGCGGACTTTGTGCTCCAGTATGAGGCTGACAAGGAAGATCTCAAGTCCCAGGTGGTCCAGGTTGACGAGGAAAACCTTCCCAACTCTCAGTCTTCGGACTCTTCAGCAGATTACCCGCTGATAAAACCTCAGTCCGCGAGCAATTCTTCTCCGAGGCACCATTCAGATTGTAAGATGTACGTGTACACTAATCGCTACACGCTTCGTGGACTGCGGCTCAAAGTGACGGTGGATTTCAAACGCGACGCGGGCGTCGAGGATCTCTACCAGCCAGCTATGTACACCATACAGGAACTGGTGGAGACAGCGGCGCGTCCGAAGAGCTACAGACCGCCAGTGACCATCATGGTAAGAATAGCGAGTCACTTGGATCATGAGCGCTGACATATCGTCTTCTAGGCCGGTGACAAGGATGACTGGTATTACGGAATCCTGGAAATAGATGGTTTTGTTTGGGTGGAAAACCATCAGATTGATCAGGCCAGCTTGCAAGGTAAATGACTGCACAAACGGCTGCCAGTCTAACTATTTGTGGTCGTGTGCGCAGAGTTCCCGGAAGAAAAGATGGAGGTGAATCCGAAGAAATTCACTCCAAGCTTCACGCGTGCCGAATTACAGAACAACTTCGAAACGTGGAAGAAGGACTTCGCTAAGATCAAGATGAGAATCCCCAATGGTCTTCACCCGGTTGGCCGCTTCTTCATCAGGTAAGAGCCGCGTTTCCAAGCGCTTTGGTATTGACAGACTTGCAGGACGGTGCAAGGGTATAACAAGATGCCTACCCTTGGCGGTGAAGCGGAGCTTGCCAGGGGGCAAAAGAGGTTCTACGATGGCATGCTCAAGACTCTTGTTGGTCGTCAAGTCACCAACTGGAGTCCCCAGGATGCGCTCAATGCGTGGAACGCACGCAAGTGCCTCCTCGAGATCACTTAGGTGCGCCAGCCGACAGTAAACACTAGAAATGACACTAGAAATGTCGGTGTTTTCAGGTTTTCCAATTTTTGATAGTATATGTAAAAAAAAAATTCGCTACTATCCGATGGAATATAGTTTGCTACCTTGGTTCAACATGCCATACCCAGATAGCACAGGGCTCTTGAAACTATACCTCGATCTTCTCTCTGCTCCCACGTTGCACTCCGAGTGTAGCCACTACAATGCCACCTAAAGTTGGACAATCCAGAAACCACATGTCGAAATGCCAAACTTGGTCTGCGATTGCTCCTTCCACAGGCCTGCGCTGCCATAGAGCTTGACCATGAGCATGTAACAAGCCGAGTCACTGGAACCGCTGTCCAACTCCACAAAGCGATCAAACACGGCTTTTCCCACCTCTGCACTGTTCCACTTGCAGCAAGCGGCCAGCAGCGTCGAGCATGTCATGGATCCACCAGCGGTGAAAGGCATGCTCTCCACCAGCAGCATTGTCTCCTCCAGACGGTTGGCTCGTCCCAGCGTGCCGATCATACAGTGGTAGTGCTGTCCACTGTGCTTTCACCGCCAGCTCCTCAAACGGAGACTTGACACTCTCCACCAGTCCTGAGTGGCTGCACGCCGATAGCATCGGGTTTCAAGCCTTCGTCTTTCTTACTGTGGAGAGCACCAAGCACTCGATCGCTCTCGCCTCGAGCACAGTAGCCTGCCATCCAAGTGATGACACAGAACGACTGCTGTGTGCTGCCGAAAACTCAATGTCGAACAGACCATCTCTGTGGATGGACTTGGCCTTGAGAGCAGTGGCATTAAGTCCATGTGTCACTGTTAGGCACCAACTTTGACTACGTGGTCAACGTTGGTCAAAGGGAGGCTCAAGGGTATATTAAGGCATGTTAAAATTACCTACCCTAAGGGTCACAGTGGAGCGGCGGTGCAGTGGAGCTTTTGAGGTAGCTCAGGGGTGGTTGGGTGGTGAGGAACCTCAAGAGGTGGCATAACATAGTCTAGGGCAACTAAATTTTTGTCTTTTTGCGCCGGATCATAATAGTCACACACATCCCGATGGTGATGCTAACAATCTGAGAGCCCGCTCGCTCTCCCCCTTGCCAGCGTAGCCCTGTAGGTCCAAGACAGAATGCTGGAGAAGGGTTATGTCAAACACCTTGTGAGCGTCCACAAGGCTCCCAGTCTTTGCGTACATGTCTCTCCCTGAGCAAGCTTTTAGAGAGGACAATATCATAATGTAGAAAGTAATTACAGAGTAGGGTGGTTACAAATACCATATTTAGGACATGTTACAAACGAAAGTTGTATGTCCTTTCAGTTGCAACAAGAAAAGTTTTAAAACCAATGCATCCATTTATTTTGTCCAAATAAAAGTAACATATATAAGACACTAAAAATAATATGTGACAAGATTTTCTATTATATCTGGAGTAAAATCTTGACAAAATAACTGACATCATTTTTGAGGTGCATGAGTCAATCCAACTCTAATAGCAATATCTAAAACATTATCTAGAAAAGGGATTTTATATTCAGTCACACTTAAGATCATAAAAGAAAAAACCTTACAACCATTATTGTGTGGAGGGAATAAAAATTGGAAATGGAGGTGGAGACTCATATGAAATGCATGGGACCAAGTTCGAGTAATAATAACATTTTAAGCAAATTGAATTTTGAATGGTATTTATTGGTATGTATATTAAGTTAAACTCTAGTTTTTAATATGACATTGACAATATACAGATTCTTGATAGTTTAGATTGTTAATCTTGGAAATTTAGGACTTTAGAATCATAATAATGTTAGAACCACTTATATTACAATTATATATAATAATGTTCTTACACATGGTGAAGAACAATATTTCATTGGTAAACACTATAAAGCTCTATTTCGTTAAAGTGGGAATTGTCATTATCCCACTTGTAAAATAAGGTTTCCAAACCTTTATATAGTATATAAATATAACAAAATTCAACTGCATTGAGGCACATGTCATTTTATTTTAAACAAGGAAATGTCTACTCAATCATTTCTCCTCCCCCTGCCACTGCTTCACCTCTCTCTTCTCCTTGTCATCGTCATCCAATTTCTTTCCATCCTTTTAATATTGGCTTAGTTGCTCTGAGTCTAGGTGGAGCCCAAGTCCCCATTCAATCTTTACTTTCCCCTTATTAATAAAACAACTTCGTAGACTTCCAATAACATGCTGTAACACTTCTAGTATAATGCAAATCCTCTCAAAGAATTGTCTTTTAATATTAATACAATGGCATGGAACCCCATGCCATAATAAGTTACATTTTTAAATAAATACATGCCATCTCAGACTGTTATTTTTTGCCTCCAACGCCTATATAATAATCTTGGAATTTCATCACTCTCCACACTATCAGGATTTAAACCCAATAGTAATGCCATCTCTTCTCTAATACGTCCACGCTCATGTTCAGTGGTCGAAGAACCCATCCGGTTGAGCAGATTATGGAGATGCGGATAGTGCTTGGCTAAACAATATACATGCCATAAATGATGACTGGTGTCTGTCCGATCAAATGGCTTCTGATATACCGTTCTATCTGCCATTTGGTTGATTTCTGCAGCCACCTCCTGGACTGGCCGGTTCTCTATCACCATCGCTCCAAGCCGTTTTGCAAGGTCCCCCAGAACATATGGTTTCTTCTCCCTAGTTTCCATACTGCAAGAGATGGGGTGCACTGCATATGTGTGCATGTTCGCTGCAGTTTTAATCGGCGAGTCATCGATGATAAGGATTTCACTTGACCTAGCAGTCCGGTTCATCACTACAGCCTCTGGCTTGATGAAGATGGGCTTGCTACCCCTCACATGGACTATAGTCAAGCAATCCTCCTGCGTTAGGAGAAAGTCAAATGGTAATATTACTCGTGTCTGATCGTGCATCATCTGTAGCAATGTTAATGCATTGTGGCGCATCATGGATGTCCAAACTCCCAATTGCAAATTGAACCCGGCCCTTTGTTTTAAGTGTTGCATGGTCATTATTAGATTTTGCAGTTTCTCCCGTGTGATTAATGTGAATCTGTCTCTTTTGACCAACTTGCGACTGCAGGCTTTGGAGGGTGTAGTGACATTCGAGGATGAGCCACACTCATGGGAGAAAAGGACACCGTTCAGATAAAAAACGATACAGTACCTTCGCCGTGACTCTGAAATGAAATGCGTCAGCATAAAAAATGGTACAAATCAATTTTACCATCTACAATATTAGCGAATGGTGCTCCTGATGGTCGTTGAGAGGGTTTTGGTCGAGGAAACGTGAAGGGCAGAAATACTCTCCTCTGCAATGTGGGGTCAATCGCATCCGATGGCGTGTGGGCACATGCCATTTCAGCTGTAGACTCTGGTACAATTGGCTCAACAGTGGCATGGGGTGGTTCCGATGGCGTGTGATCACACGCCATTTCAGCTAGTGCCTCCGTTGGCAAAGTGGACATGACCGAACAGGCAGCAGGGGCGGTGTAGGGAGGTTCCAACGGCGCATAGTCAGACGATTGGGCACACGTTGAGTCCGTTGGAAATGAGGATACGACCGGCTCGGCGGCTGGGGCGGCCTCATGCAGGTCCAATGGCGCCTGGTCACCGTCAGTTGGATACGTGGACAAGATTGACTCAGTGGTATGGGCAGCATCAAGTGGAGCGTGGTCAGCTTGCTTGGCGTTGATATGGATAGTAGCCTCCACCAGCTCTGATGACTCTTGCAGGCAAGTAGAGTCCACTGGCGGATCCATATGCATGTCCAAATATCTCCCTTCGATTGAGATGGTATCCTCCCTACTGGCTACTAAAAACAAACTCATTAGCACATTGAATCGACTATACTGTATTTACCATCAACTGCTATTGAGGAACTAGGACCGATATCACTTGGGTGCACTGCTGATTCTGAAGGATTGGACATACGTTTCGACCCTTGCTTGGCACTATCCTTCCTCGACACTAAAGGCTAGAGTTTGTATCTTAATTCAACTGAATAATCTCTACTTACCATTTGCTTTGCAACCTACATGGACAATGTTAGAAATGGTAAAAGGTTAGGAATGGATGTACTATTATTTACCTGATGGTTTGTCTTGTATGACCTTCCTCCGCTGCTCTTTGGCCACCTCAGGCTGGCCATCGTCATCATCATCGTCGTCGTCGTTATTGTGATCGTCACCATTGTGAGGACCATCCAAGTCCTCTTTGTCCTCCTCTTCTTCGTCCTCCTCTTCTTTGTCCTCCTCTTCGTCCTTCTGCTCTTCCTGCTCATTATCTTTCTCTGGCCCCTCATCCCCCTCCTGCATTTCTTCCATAGGCTGCTCAGGCTGGATGGCTTGTTCTTCCAAGACCATCTTGGGAAAATCATCTGGCCGAGTCTCCATCTCAAAATACAAGACATCCATAGCCTGTTTTAGTGTGTGACCTAGGACCATATCCTCACCCGACTGTCTTAACATGGTTTCTGCACCCCCTAGCCAACCAACAGAGTCGGACCCGAGACTCCCCTGATACCAAATGTAGGCTCCTGAGTTTGGACTTCCCGAGAGGTCACCCAGCCCAGTACTATTCAAACCCAAGGACGTGTAACTCCAACTATACCAAGACCCTTAACCGATGGGAAAAGGGGGTGCACTCTTATTCATGGGCCCTTTCCCTCTATATTTGAACCCCTATGGATCGTCTCTCGAGTCGTTCCCTTTTGCTGCTTCCACCGACGACTGTCCAACGTGCTTTTGCTTTTTATGACCACTGTCAGTTTGAGCTTGGCTGGTGCTTGCCTGTTTTGCCTTTGAAGAAGTGTCTCCTGCAAGGAATGGCATGAGACCACACGCCATTGCAAATATAATTTGTACCTCCTTTTTTCCTATTGCTTGTCTGTTTGTCCTTCTTCGATGCGCCACCAGTGCGCTTTTCAGTCCTCGTGTCTGAATATTCACAAAGATCTATAATCAAAATGGCGTGAGGCCTCACGTGACCTTACCTTGTGCAGGTTGTGAGCTCGGCCCAACATGGGTATCTTCAACAGTAGCTGTTAACGCCGTTTCAGCATCTGGGGGTGGCCACGCTCCTGCATACAGAGCTTGTGAGATAACATTTAAACTTAAAGTG